GGGGGCTGCCGCCGCTGCCGGCCCGCCCGCGGAGCGCCTCACGGCGAACTGCAATGCCGGAGGCGGAGGCAGCTCCGTCGCTTTCTCCGTCTTCGGCGTACGCGGAGAAGTCGGACGGGATGGCCGCGCGCGCGGTGGAGGCCGCAAACGAGGCCCTTCAACGTCTGAGGGCCTTGGAGGCGCGGATGGACGCGGCACCGTCGGCCAGCCCGGAACCCGTGGAGGGCCCCCAGCGGGCGAGCCCCTCGCGTGTGGAACGCCCCGCCATCACCCCCACCGTCGACCATCAGGCCCGACAGCAGATCGAGGAGGTCGGGGAGTACGTCATGCGGCGCTTTGACGAGCTGGAGGCCCGTTTGGAGGGAGGGACCACGGCGAAGCCCACGCGATCGCGGGCGGCCAAAGAGACCCTCCCAAGCCGGGACACCGCGGCGACGACGTCGGGGCCGTCCGCTGAGCGAAAGAGCCCGCAGCGGCATTCACCCCAGACCCTCGCGCCCAACGCCCCAGTTCTTCCCCCGTTGTCTTCTGCGTCGAAAGATGGATTCATTGACGTGTGCGCTCGAGAGGATGCCAGTGCCTCACTAGAACTTTTGGAACGGCTAGATCGTAGTGTGGAGAAGCGTTTTAGGGAGATGAATATAGTCATTCAGAACCTCGCCATGCATAAGCTGACAGCGGCGCCGGAGAACTCGAAGACCACGGCCTCACCGCAAACACCGCATGATCTACAGCAGATCGATGAAATGGAAAACGCTGCCTCTTCAATACTGAACCGACGAAAACATAGACAGCTAGGCAACCGGCCAGAGAACACCAAGGCAGAGAAGACGCCCACCAGCAATGTCATTGGCGCTTCTGACCTTTTGAGCTCAAAGGCCAACATCAGTGTGACCTTTCCCCCGGCACCCGCAAACGCTAACACCTCACCGATGCCCTTTTCCCGAACCCCGTCCAACCAAACGGATAGAATGCCACGCGAGGACGTGAGCCTACTGCAGGAACGACTCTGTGATTTAGAAGAGTCCTACGCAAAGCGGTGGCAGACTATCGAGGAGCGGCTTCGTATTATTGGTCGCGCGTCGATGAACCGATCAGTGCCGGTTTCGACCTCTTCCGTTGATCGTAGGCTACGCGAAGACGTCTCGACATCCTTAACACGTATTCAGCACCTTTCACGAGATTTCATGACGCTGAAGAGGCGATTAGATTTGCTCACCGGGGCTGCACCCGACGGGGGTGCAGGGCTCAATGAGGGAGGGCCCACTATCGCGCCGGAGACGAAGGTCGATCCGGCTCAGCGCAACGACCCGTCATCGCCCTTGATGGCGGGACCTTTGCGCGATAGCTATTTCAGTCAGATCGACAACATGGAAAAAGAGGTACAGGACCGGATGGCAAAGGTCAACCGCGCCATTGCCATGCTCAACAGCGGAGCTGGAAACGACAGTTCCGCGATTCGGGCTTTGGCGGCCAGCCTTACAAAATCAGGCGTTCCCCTTGAGGGCTCGGTGGGGCGGTTGATTCAGACCGCAACGACGAATCGGATCTCCCCCCCCACGGCTTCCCCCCCGGGCGACCTCACCGCATCTTCCTGTATCGTCCTTAACTCCACCGAGGAAGGGGATGAGCGCAGTGATAGGCACCTAGCATCCTCCACCCATCACCAGGGGTTGAGCTCCAAAACCCCAAACGAGTGGCCGCATTTTTTGAATTCGATCACCTCGATCACTTCGTTAGCCTCAGCTAAGCAGCACTCCCTCCAGCGGAGTGTGGGGGGGACGGAAGGGGCCGATTTCGCTTTCCGACTGAGGCCTCCCGACACCTTTATTGTGGGTAATTCCTCGTTTGCGAGGGAGGCCGCCGCTATGGAGTCCCCCGACGCCCGAATTGGCTTGGAGCAGGTTGAGGCAACATCAACGAGGAAGACCGGCTCGCCCTCCAAGGACCTGCCGGTGGATGGGAGCCGTGCACTACAGCTGGGACTTCCGATGCGGGATGCGCTAGAGGCCGCTGGGCTCACATCCCCCGCTGTGGACGTATGGGAAGGTCGGTCGATGGCTAATATGGCCATGCTAGCCTCGCCTCCCTTCGTTCACACCAAACCCTGTGTTGTATTGAACTGCGTGTGGTGTACACAAGAAGTATCCTAGTGCATTTACACGCATAATTTTATCAGCTATATCTATACATATAGATGTATATTTACGTCTTTTTTTTTTCGAACTTCTTAACAGTTTTTTCTGCTTTTCCAAGGTGTCTTTATTGGAGATTATTATCAGGAGGGATTTGTTTCGACAATAATGCAATCCGATGGGACATTTCAAAAATGTAATCTATAGATAGGCAGGAAAACATTTACGCACAACTAGGTGTGTATTAAATTTATGTTGGATATGATTGCGTGTGAGTACAAAAATTTTGAATTTTTTCTCTCTTAATATGTGTACTATTGAGTCAATGAAAACCAGCCCTAAGAATCCTGCATAGATTCAACAAGGCATTATTATTTTTATATTTGAGCTTGAATGTTT